TCATTGGCCAATCGACTGATGATGATTTAGTTTTCTATTGGTTTACAATCAGCTTGTACACTGGCTACCGGTGAAGCACAACGTCTCTTAACACTAAAGTCTCACATCTCAAGTTGCTAATCGGACTGTAAACAACGAGCAGCACACGGAAAAGGAAGTGTCGGCCTGGATATCTGATGGCTACACCAGAGCCCTAGAAATATAGAACCTCATCAACCCGAGGCTCATCATCATGGTTCAGAGACTGTGATGAGAGAGGCAGAGAGGAGGTGGACAATGTGACAGTGTTGAAGGCGAAACTAACCAGCAGGTTGAAGAGCAGAGACAGGCATTGCTAAACTCCAGACAGACAGACAGACAGACAGCAACAACGAGCAGACAGGTAGAACTGAAACAGATCTGACAGGCTGAGTGGAGATTACTCTGTCAGGAAACCCTTTGAGGACAGTCGGTGGAGTGTGTTTGTGCACCTTCTCTAGGTCTTGCAGGGTGGCCGACAGTAGAGTATCACCGCAGGTGACCCAGTGGCAAGCAAGAATGCCGTACTGGCCCAGTCCAATGTCCTCGAGCCAGCCACACACCTGCTCTGTGCTCCACTTAGAAAAAGGCACCTTCAGGTCTCTGACATGGAGAAGAAGAGATTAACATTGAGACGGTTTATAGTGTTGGGCTCCAGCTCCTTTCACAGGGTGTGTGATATCAGACTAACACGGAGTCTTTGTATCTCCTCCACAACTCATTATAGACAGTCGATTTATTTCATTATTCCTACCATCCAAGCAGCTGCAGCTGATACTTCATGCTAGTAAAATATGACTTTGCTGAGACATGAATCTTCATTGACATGTAGGACTGTGTTCGGTTCTGTTGCTGATGCAGGTAAAGCAGTTAAAAGTGTACATTGAATATCTGCAGTTTATCCTGTAAACGTTGCTTTTGGACTCAAAGGGCTGTGTTCAAGTAGGGCGGTGGAACAATGGAAGCAACAGCACATGAATGTAGCATTATAAAACATGCTGAACCAGCAGGCAGCAGAGGCCGACTGTGCTCCACCACAACCTGAGTGTGACTGAACGCTAATGAAGGCTGCGTTCAGTGCAGTGTCTCTCCTGCATCACTCATATGAGCGTATGTTGTTCTACCGTGTGTTCCGTGGGCGGACCAGTCTCGGTCCAGCTGTAGCTCTGAAGCCTCCCCTCCGGAACTCTCCCAGCTCGGGGTCGTGGACTTGGGCAGGACTGCCTGACTGGCTGCGACGGATCCTGTGGAACAACAAAAACACTGATGAGTGTGTGAAGGACAAATGGAAACAAAGACAGAGACTGAGATAATGTGTCTGTGTGTCTGTTAATGTGTAGCTACTGTGCATATATATCAATCTTCAAAACTTACTTCCCCCAGAATTTCTTAATGCCTCTGTGACTCTTCCTGTTCTCTGGTGAGACAGGGGACTGCTGTCCAGAGTCCACTCCAGAGGACAGGGGGGACTGGCCTGACAGAAGACACTCTGGATGCCCTGCACAGAAACACAAGAGAGAAGAACGGACACTCAGGAAGTAGATCTGGGATCCAGAATAAAGCTGGGGTTCTTCGTCTTGGCAGGGACCACCGCTGTGTGCTTCTTTCATTGGTGGCCTAGTTCACATGGTGTTCACCTATGTGAACTACTCGAGCACTAAAGCTACACATCAATACTATTCATATTAACAACTCAGCTCTAAGGAGCTTCTTAGTTTGGGTTTTCACAGACACACAGACACAGACACTGTTTGCTAACATGTTAGCCAGAACAGTTCTAGCTTCTTTCCAACATCAACTTTATTAGTTATTAAAGTTATCAGGTAAGTAGATACAACATGGTTATGTTTATTTGATATCCCAGCCTCTCAGTGTCATACTGATGCTTCAAACCATGTGCTGCCTGCTACAGGTTATGGTCATTCTTTATAAATACAACCATGCATGAAGCCCTTATGGCTTCTCTTCTATGCTGTATACACTACAGAGACGTCCATTTCACCCTGGTTACATCATTCACTCAGCACACGTCAGGCTCACTGGTCCCAGCAGGACGTCACACACTGGTTGAGATACGATACCCACCAACATCATAGAGGTCATGTTTGCCAGGAGATCCTGAGGCAGAGGAGGTTAGTGAAGTGAGGAGAGAGCCAGCAGAAATAAAGCAGAAGCCAGTATTAGTCACACATATGTACAGCCAAAATAATTTCTGTATACATGTAAACCTACAAGCCTCAGGCAGGTGCTGAAGCTGTGACAGGATCCGGTCTGTCTGTGTGCATACTGAGACAGGACGAGAGGAATGAGCTCATCTCACACCTATTTTCTGAGCCCTGACCAGAGGCTGAAAACACAACTTAACCAAGGTGGTGCTAAAACAAACTCCCTCCATGTATAGAAGTGTTTGATGGGGAAGTCTGTTTACTTTAATATCTCTCTCTCTCTCTCTCTCTCTCTCTCTCTCTCTCTCTCTCTCTCT